GATAGGTGGGATACTTTATTTAGATTGGACTGGAAGGTGTATCTAAGGAAGAGAGTTCTTTTTTTTATTAAGAGACAAGGTCTCACTCTGTCACCCAGGCCAGGGTGCAGTGGCGTGATCATAGCTCACTGCAGCCTCAAACTTCTGAACTCAAGCATTCCTCCCACCTTGGCCTCCCAAAATACTGGGATTACAGGTGTGAGCTACTGTGCCAGCAGGGCCATCAGGAGAATGAAAAGGAGCCAGCCCTTGGGAGAGCTAGGAAGAGCTTTTAACCGAAGTGCAGAGTGTCAAAGCAGAAGGCTAGTGGGGCTGGAGAGTGGTGAGGGAGGGGAGAATGTGACATGAGGTTGGAGTGGCAGGCAGGGGTCAGTGACCTTGTGGGGAATGATAACATTCAGGTCTTATTCCAAGTGCAGTAGCAATGACACAGTTCCATTCCTGTCATAAGTCAGTTACTCTGGCTGCTGGGTGGAGAATGGTTTGAAGGGGGAAGGGTGCAGAATAGAAGCAGGTACCCCAGTTAGCAGGCTGCTAGGCCAGGTGAGAGATGAAATGATGTCATGGTCTGAGTGGGATTCTATTTTGGAGGGGAGCCCAGAAAACCTGTTGATGGAGTAGATGTGAGAGTGAGAGAAATGGATTAATCAAGGTTGTCTCCTTTTTGATTTGAGGAACTGGATGGATTTTGTGAGATAGAGATGCCTTGGGGGAGGAACAGGTTTAGTGAGAGGTGTTTGACAGAGCTCTGAGTGCAGATGTTGAGTGTATAGTCTGGAGGTGAGAGGAGAGGCCTGGGCTGGGAAGAACTTGGGAGTTATAATAGCAGCGTCAGTTAGAGCCATAGGATCGGATGAGCCCACTCCAGGACAGTGAGTGTGGATAGGCATAGAAGAGGACTCAGAACCAAGGCTGGCACATGCTGGTGTTCAGAGGCTGCCAGAGATGACAGAAATGGACAGAGTCTGAGCAGTTCGGGAGGGCAGAGGAAACACGGAGAGCCAAGTGGAAGGTGTTGCAGGAAGGTGGTTGTGGTCACTGTTACTGAAGGTTACTGAAGGGTCTGTGGAATGAAGAAAGGGCAGCAGCCATGAAGTGGAACGTGGTGTAGGGAGGCGCTTGGCTCCAGAGACACACTGCCTCCATCACTCAACGGTTTGTAATTGTCCTAGTCCATTTGTGCTACTGTAACAGAATACCTTAGATTGAGTAATTTTTAAGCAACAGATTTATTGTTCACAGTTCTAGAGGCTGGGAAATCCAAGATCAAAGCACCAGCAGATTCAGTGTCTGGCAAGGGCTTGCTCTCTGTTCCCAAAATGGCACCTTGTTGCTGTGTCCTCACTTGGCAGCAGGAGAATAAGGGCAAAAACGGACTAGCCAGCCTCAAACCCTTTTATAGTGGCACTGTTCCCATCCATGAGGGCAGAGCCCTCTTGGCCTAATCACCTCCCAAAGGTCCCCTCTTAATTGCTATCACCTTGGATGTTAATTTCCAGCATACGAATTTAGGAGGGACATATACATTCAAACCATGGCAGTGATCTAGGTCAAGTTATTGAACCTCTTTAAGTTCCAGTTTCTTCTGTAAAATGGATGTTAAAGACAGTACCTGTTATTGTGAGGATTAAATGAGTCTATACATGAAGCACACTTAGAATAGTATCTGGCCCAGAATAAATTGTAGCTATTTGCTGTTACTATCACAGTGGCCTCTGATGACCACTGCTCCATAAAAGTAGAATAGAGAGAGGTTTCCCCGTCTCTGGATTTACCTGATGCTTCCCTTGCGCTTTCTTTCCTTCTCCATAGACACATATCAGGTGGGACTGGTCCCAAGGTTTAGATTCTTGGTATAGTAAGCAAGTGGTTCCCACTTGAGGCATTTTGCCTAGATTCTGTTTTGGAAATGTTCATGTTTGGTTGGTCCTGAAGTGTATAAATCCTACTTTGACATGTAATCTTTCTTTTTGATTGTAGTAGTAGAAAAAATTAACCATGGTATAGTGAAAAAAGCACAGGTTTTATAGTCAAACAAACTTGGATTTGTTTCTCAGCTCTGCCATTTATTAGCCGTGTATCTTTGGGCAAGTTACCCAAGTTATCTCCTGTGTTAATTAGGGTTCTCTAGAGAAACAGAACTAACTAAATAGGATAGGTACAGATAGATGTGAGGGGATTTAGGAGGCTGAGAAGTCTTGCCATCTGCCCTCCACTCTCTGGAGAACTAGGGAAGCTGGTGGCGTGACTCAGTCCAAGTCTGAAGGCCTGAGAACCTGGGGGGCCGATGATGCAAGTCCTGCAGTCTAACGATTAGAGAACCTAGAGCTCTGACGTCCAAAGACAGGAGAAAATGGATATCTCAGCTCCAGGAGGGAGGAATGGGGCAGGAGGGGTGGGGGATGGGAGTGTGCGGAGGAGAGGGAGGGAGAGAGAGAAAGAGGGAGAAAGACAGGATTTGCTTTTTTGCTTTTCCTCTGCATTTTTTTTTCCTAGTTCTTTTCAGGCCTTCAACTTACTGGATGGTGCCCCTCCCCCCCACCATATTGCGTGAGAATGGATCTTCCTTACTCAGTCTACTGATTCAAATGCCAGTCTCTTCCCGAAACAGCCTCACAGCCATGCTCAGCAGTAATGTTTTAACAGCTGTCTGGGTATCTCTTAACCCATTCAAGTTGAAACCTTAAATCAACCATCGCACCTCCTCTTTAACCACTTATTAACTTGAGATGATAACATGCTAAAATTTTGCACCTTTCAAAATTGTCTGTAGGCTAGGTTGTTTTATGTTAAGGCCTTCTCATAGTTTATGGCACAGAGTAGGTCGCCCATGAACGATAGCTATTTCTGGTCATCTTTGAGCTCTTCTGAATGCAGATCCTTTAAAAATGTTTATATATTTATTTTCTGTTTTCATTGTTAAAACTGTTACGTTAAATCCAGCAAAGTATTTGTAATGAATTTTAGTGCTGCAACGGTTTTAGGACTTCAGTCAGATGCCCTTGATGTTCTGGAGAACTCTTTTGCCTTAAACGATATTCCTGTTGCCTTCTTCTGAATATTTGTCTGTTACGAAGATCTCTTCTTTTGGGAGCTGATTGAGTGGAGGCAGTTGTGGTAGTTCTCAGCCTTCAGCAGGAATTGTAAGAGGTCGTTTACTTCTCAGAATAATTGTTACTCCACTGGAAACCAGCAGGAATGTAAGAATATAAGAAGAAATCAGATTTTTTTTTTTTTTTTTTTGAGACAGAGTTTTGCTTAGTCGCCCCGGCTGGAGTGCAATAGTGCGATCTGGGCTGACTGCAACCTCTGCCTCCTGGGTTCAAGTGATTCTCCTGCCTCAGCATCCCAAGTAGCTGGGATTACAGGCACCCGCCATCATGCCTGGCTAAGAAATCAGATTTTAAAAGAAGATTGGAATTTGTTTTTATGAGTCAGGGTGCTACCTGTTTTGTTCTGGTTTAAGATCACATTACCTTATTTCTACTTAGTATTGCCCTGTTTTTAGATTTGTATTACTTTTTGATTAGAATTCAGTTGTACTAAAGGAAGGGCCGTTTTCTGATCCTTGCACAATGCCCAGTGCGTAGTGGGCACTCCATAGATGTTAGTTGAAAGACAGAAAATAATGAGCTGGAGGATGGTAATGTAGGCATGCCCTACTCGTCAGCTTTTCTGGTCATCTTTGATCTGAGTGTGCTGTTGTGTAAAAGAAAATAGCACAAACGTCTTTAAAACTTTTGAGAGTCTGTACTAAATCGCTGTCTCAGAATGCCTTATCTTTTTGTTCTTTTTTCAGATTATTAGACGTTGTTGATTTTATGGAATTTTCATATAAGTACATTTTAAAAATGGAAACAATTAAAAATATTGTTGCACAAGGGTTTTCTAAAATATTAAAAATTAAGGTAGTAAAAGAGCACCCAAGAATGTAGGAGATAGAGGATAAAAACCAAATACATATGACTTTGCTTCCCACTTTATCTGCAAACTTTATTTGGGTAGATATAACCTGATTGGGTAAGGCTCTAAATAAAAATAGTATTTCAAGCCCAGTGGAAATCTTTCACTCTTGGAAAAATACAGTGTATGTATTTTAAAAACTTTTAACAATATAATTTATCAATAAATTTTATTTCCTACAGGTATAATGTGAATACAGATTTTTATTGGTTTCAAAAAGTTTATATTAAATTGACAGTCCTATGAGGGAAGGATATATCTTGGTATTTCTCAAAGTATATCATTTATAAAGACCTACATAAATAGCTTACAGTAGTTGTGCTCTAATTATTTAGAAATTCTGTTGCTAAATATGTTTTAAATTCATGCATCAGATATCGCATCCTGTCTTGTTGAGGGGCCTCAAGGAAATTATCAAACAATGCAGTCATCTTATTTAAAAGGCATTTACATTGTAAATAGACTGGAAGCAAGTAAGCTAGCAAGTTATCTGCCTAGTGTCCACCAGCCTTGCAGGAGTTAAAAGCAAAATTTATCAGACATCAATAGTTTATTGAAAAAATAGTCCTTTTTGCTTCATAATTTGCAGAAGGCTGCAACTGTCAGTCATGATGTACTGCCTCTTGAAATTAGTCAATAGAGCAAACAGCAAGAATTGCTGTGGGCAGAAAATAAGCACTGTAATCATGACATAACTGGGGTCAGTGATTTATGGATTTCAATATAGTAGTAGCTGCATATGATTGAAAATTTACTAGGTCACTAGTGCACCAAAAATTTTATTCACAGCCTCCAGGCATCTTTTGAAATGTGCAACAAAATAAAAACCTCTGAACCTGTTTTGACACTGCAAACTCAGTGGATGACATGCCAGCCCAGTGAGTCTCATTTAAATGTAAATGTGTCATAAACTTTTGTACCATACTCTTTAAAAATGCCAACTACTTGAAGGAATATTGCATGTGAAACTGATTTACATATCAAAGTAGAGAAAAAGGACCTTGTAATAATCAAGTTTGAATTCTTTTATTTTAAAGTTGGAAGCTGAAGGTGTTCCTGAAGTATCTGAAAAATATGAAATTAGCTCTGTTCCCACTTTTCTGTTTTTTAAGGTAAGGATAAAGGTGGTACAAGAGATTGTCCATTTGTAGGGTGCCATGGGGCTGCCTATTTTGTTTCTTTACCCTCTCCCTAATCCCCGAATATTAGGTGTTTGGCTGTTTCTGGCCCTCCACCTTTCTTCTGATAGTCTCATTTTTGCACCCATGCTGAAAAAGAAGACCATGCCAGCTGCTTGCCAACATCTTACATGGACTGTGTAGGGCCAGCAGCCAGAATCAAGAGCTTCTTGATCAAAATTCAGATATGTGGCTGTGGAACCACAGTGTTCCCTGAGTTGGTTAAATTGGTTGTTCAGAGCATGTGCCTGGACATAATGGAACTTCTGACTGGTTCTGGTTTGATGAATGAGTCTTAGGAAGCAGGTGCACAACTGTGCTGGGCACCCATGGGTGTCATCGTAGTTCCCCAAATGCCTCATACTTAATAATAGATTCATCCCAGCCAGTGTGGGGGCCGTCTTTTTTGTATTATATTAGACTGACCTGATTTGACTTTGAGATGTTGCAGTGTTTTCTCTGTGTGTTTCCAAGAAAAGAAAAAAATTATTATGTATTTCTAAAATTGAGATGCAGTGCAGGCAGTTGGCAATGAGGGTTTCTTTTTTTACATCTCCAGTAATACTGTTGTCCCCTTTAAAAATTTGCTAGAACAATGTCATTATTATGGAATGCTGCATGTATTCTAAATAACTTTTTAAACTTTAGAATTCTCAGAAAATCGACCGATTAGATGGTGCACATGCCCCAGAGTTGACCAAAAAAGTTCAGCGACATGCATCTAGTGGCTCCTTCCCACCCAGCGCTAATGAACATCTTAAAGAAGATCTCAACCTTCGCTTGAAGAAATTGACTCATGCTGCCCCCTGCATGCTGTTTATGAAAGGAACTCCTCAAGAACCACGCTGTGGTAAGAAGCTGCCTTTAAGATAATATAAACAAAATGGGTACTTTCCCAGAACACGGTATGGTTGAGATGGGCATCCTCTTTCCAAGCTATACTATACATCTTATACTTGTGTTCACATACCTTTAAAATCAGAAAGGTTATAACTCCCAGTGACACTATAGAAGAATTAGTTTGCAGGCCGGGCGTGGTGGCTCACACCTGTAATCCCAGCACTTTGGGAGGCTGAGACAGGCGGATCACAAGGTCAGGAGATCGAGACCATCCTAGCTAACACGGTGAAACCCCATCTCTACTAAAAATACAAAAAAAAATTTAGCCGGGCATGGTGGCGGGCGCCTGTAGTCCCAGCTACACGGGAGGCTGAGGCAGGAGAATGACGTGAACCCGGGGGGTGGAGCTTGCAGTGAGCCGAGATCACGCCACTGCACTCCAGCCTGGGCGACAGAGCGAGACTCCGTCTCAGAAAAAAAAAAAAAAGAAAAGAATTAGTTTGCATTATGGACTCAGAATGTTGGAACCAAAAGGAGTCTCGGAACTCATCGAATTCAGATTTTTGTTTTATACTTACGTCCTCAGACTCAAAGATAGAGGTGACTTGCCCAAGATCACCTGGTAAGCAGAGTTAGGATTAGGTTCCAACTGCTGTATTGCTGTCTTTTTTGCCTGTTTAGCTGCTTTTGCTGTTAGCAGTTATTTTTTCTTTCTTGGCAGCCTCCTGTTTTTCACCTAGTTCAGATTCAGCAATTAAAAATTTGTGGAATATTTTAGTGTTTTTGTGTCCACCCTGTGTGCTTTTGCCTCCCCTGCGTCATCACTGTCTAATGATTCTCTTCCCGCATTGCTGTCATTTCCAGTTTATAGCTGCTAGTAATGGAAAGATTCCGAAATCTTGGCCTGTAGTCACTCTTATTTTCTGTACACATGGATGCTTATAATTTTGTCCTTAAGTAAGTTTTAGAGTTATTTGACCCCTCTGGTACTGGGTTTATGTTATTTTCTTTTTACTGTGCCTAGTACAACATTAGTATGCTGCATAATTGAGCATTTAATGCCATTTGATGATGCTGTTGAGACTCTAAGAGTATTTGTATCAACTACACAGGAGGGACTTTATTAAGATGGGGCAGTAACATTGAGTATGCTCTTAATGTGATTACAGCATGTCCAGAGTGACTTTATAAAGATAGCCAAGCTTCTAGTGTGAATTTGATTCTAAATTCTTCCCTGTAGAGCTATTAAATTACATATTAGGTTATGATTATGTCTAGTTTTAAAACTAAAGTTTCATGATGAATTGTTATTTTTTTCGAGACGGAGTTTCGCTCTTGTTGCCCAGTTTGGAGTGCAATGGTGCGATCTCAGCGGGCCGCAACCTACATCTCCTAGGGGTCAAGCGATTCTCCTGTCTCAGCCTCCCGAGTAGCTGGGACTACAGGTGCCTGCCAGCTCGCCTGGCTAATTTTTTTGTATTCTTAGTAGAGACAGGGTTTGTCTGTGTTGTTCAGGCTGGTGTCGAACTCCTGACCTCAGGTGATCCGCCTGTCTCGGCCTCCCAAAGTGCTGGGATTACAGTCGTGAGCCGCCTGTGAATTCTGTCTTAAAAATATCTTTTAGTTCTGCCTAAAAAATTTCACTGCCAGTATTTATGTGTCACATAATGCCTGCTGTTTCTGTATTGCAAAGCTAACTTAGTCTGTACTACACTAAAGGTAGCAACAGATAGTCTCTGTTGCGTTTGTTATTTTGTTTTTAACGGGGGTTGCAAATGGTTCACGTTCACCTTCTTCCATGAAACATGAAAATCATTTCTTGTACCTTAAGTGGTAGCCACTAAATGGGAACTTACCACTTCAGTCGAATGGATCGTATTCAGCACCTTCATTCAGATCTCAGGTACAGTAGAACTGGCTATGAAATGTGGGTGAAGCACACCTACAGGGAAATCTCTACAGTATTGTCTCCTTTGGGGTTGAACAGCAGCAGTCTCAGTCTTTTCTGAATGATAAAACTAATGAAAAGGCAGGTGGCAACACTGAAGCTTGGGGAAGGGGTGCTCAGAGGAGAAGGGTGTCCTGGGAAGTGTGCTACACTGGATGTCATGCCAGGCGAGCCTCAGGCCCACTCCTGCAGCCTTAGCAACTTTGGAGACAAGTCAGGTACCCTTCTTATGCCTTTGATTCCTTCTAGTGCTGTTGGGAATAAGATTGGCTGTTGGAGCCAATCTTGGAGGGCCTTTTCAGTGCAGATATTGTATGATTATTCAAGTAAATTAGAGAGAAACTTAGAAATTATCATTTTTCTGCTTACCTTTCACTTTATTAAACTGAATTTAGAATATACTAGCATTTTTATATTTATGTTAAACTTATGTTATTTAAATTATATTTATATTATTATAATGGAGTGACATTTGGAAGACTGAACATATAATAGAATAAAAAAGAAACTTTGAAATAGTTCAGGGCTGGGCGTGGTGGCTCCCGCCTGTAATCACAGCACTTCAACAGGCTGAGGTGGGCTGATCGCTTGAGATCAGGAGTTTGAGACCAGCCTGGCCAACATGGCAAAACCCCGTCTCTACTAAAATACAGAAATTAGCTGGGCATGGTGGCATGCTGTAATTCCAGCCACTTGGGAGACTGAGGCAGAAGAAGCGCTTGAACCTGGGAGGCAGAGGTTGCATTGAGCCGAGATTGAGCCACTGCACTCTAGTCTGGGTGACAGAGTGAAACTCTGTCTTGAAACAAAACAAAACAGAACAAAACACATTTCAGAGCCATCTGAAAACATGGTGTTATAGATATTTAATACAAGACAATAAATATTTTGAGATACATATGATTGAACGGTTAGTTTCTTCTTTCAAAGTACTTGTTTTCTATATAATTTTTATAACTACATTTTCAATGGGTTTTTCTGTTTCCTGATATTTTCTGTTATATGTCTTTCTGTCTTACATAGTAAATAGATCATTTAAGAATGTTGCTGTTCTTTAATAAAATACTTAGGATTAATTGGAAAATATTTTTAAACTGTTTTCTTATGGGAACGTAAGTCCCCTGGACCCTCTGCTGTTCCTTTCCGAGCCTGCTTAGTGGAGCGTTGTTTTTGCTCTTCTGCTGGCATTTTAGAGAAGGGTGTAGGCAAAGCCCCCTTTATAAAAGCACTGGCCATCTCATCTTGTGAGCACGCATGTGGCTGTTCTTTCCTTATTTTGCACTAAATTAGCTTTGAAAGTGCTGCCTCTGCTAACACCGCTGAACTCCACTGTGGAGTATAACGATGTCTGTTTAGTTGGTCCCCACCTTGCTTTCTGCTAATCAGAAAAACATGAATGAATAACATTTAAATTTTATATCTAGAAAACCTTGAAAGCCATTTTTAGGGTTTCTGCTGGAGCCCCATTGGACTCAGCCCAGCTCCTGCACAGGTCATGTCTCCATCTTCTTATCCTTCACGTGGGCTCTGCCTGCAGAATTGTATGGTGTATTATAAGCTTGACATGTAAATAGGGTCTCAGTTGAAAAGAATTGGATTGTCCTTATTCTGTGATCTTCATGAAGACAGGAAAATGCTTGTTTTAGGAAGAGTTTCCAGAAGCACTGAGGTATATGTCATCTTAAACAGAATCTTAAATCCTTGAGCAGGTTAATTATTTGGGAATTCTTATAGCTATTTCAGTTAACAAAGCTTTTAGCAAAGCAAAAGGTATTTAAGTCATAGTCAGATATTCCTCCTGCAGTGAGAGTCATCCAACCTGGCTCTTACTTTTAAATCAGTATCAGCCACAAAATCAGGTTTCAAAGATTTTTTTTAGGGTTTATTGTTAGGTAGTGATGAGATACAGTGTTAGGCACCTATTCATGTCATGAGTAGAAATGACTGGGGGTGGAAATGGGGATTCTGTGGCAGTTAAACATTACTTTTCTACATTTAAATATTTTTATTGCATGCATGCATTTTTCTTAGAAAAAAGTGTGTAAATATTTTGTTACTAGAATAAAGCCTTCTTGCCATCTTATCCTGAAGCATAACATTTCTAGTCTGCCACTTTAACCCTTAAAAATGAAACACTACCAATCAATCTTTCTAGTCTGCATGTAATTGCCTAAAGCTAAAATAAAGCTTTTTCTCAGCCAGTTACAGTAAAAATGAGTTAATATATTGGCAACAGAATAACCATCAGCAATCAGCCGTTAGCTGTTTACTAATGAACTCCCAGATGAATAAAAAAATTTCAGAATCAGTGTTTTACTTCAGGCTGTACATGAACTTCACACTTCCGATGTAGGAAAAGCAACTTACATGCTATACAAATAAATACTAGTGCTTCATCTCAATAAACTGCAGATTTGGAAAATGTTTGGAGCTCACTTGTAGATCCATGTTTTAATGGTAAATATGATTTTGGGTGACATCAGTAAAACCCTTTCTTGCAATTAATCTTATATTGAATTTTATGGTTTGATTTTATTTAAAAACAATTGCTGATACTGCTAAGTCTTTTAGAAAGTTTGAATCTGAAGAATAGGTTCTTTTCCAGTGAATTATAACTGTGTTTGAGAAGAAGAATGAGGTGTGAAAGAGTAGGGCCCTACAAAGTATTGGGAACAATGGGGAAGAATTAGCTTATGGAAAGAAAAATACTTTTTTTTTTTCCAGACTAGGCTAATAGGTTTATAAAAGACTGATATTCACACTCTTATTCTTCAGTTCTAATGTCATAATAAGATGATGTCAAAAAAGTACAGAATAAAAATGTGTCACAAAAGTATAATAAAATCATGGAACATAAAATTGTCACTATAGTGTAGTAAAAAAAATTACATTACATACTTTAGGGAATGTAAATAGTTTTAAAAAAGAAACTGTCAAGTTATGACATGAGATGAGAAAGAATACCGTCAATCTATTGATGGTTCATATATAACAACAGAGAAGATAGCTTTAAAATTCAATGTACTCTGTGTATTTCAGACTACAGGAGAACACATGCCTTCTTGATTTTTAATTTATCCTACTTAGAGACAGTGAAGATTGAGAACTATCGAAGTGGGAACTCAGGAAGTAGTAAAATGGCAGTAGAAACGAAACAGCATTGGGTTTTTAGTATAGTCAAGTAGTAGTTAAAAATAACAATTGTAGAATTTTTTTCCTCTGCCCAGAATTGATTCTTATAGGTTCACAACAGGAAGGCTGGGAGGGACTGTCCAGAGCGTCAGGTCAGTCTCCTGATTACTAGGAAAGTGCTGAGCAGAGGCCACCTATGGCCTCATCATGTGTCACCTTGGTGGGTGGAGGGAGCAGGTGTCAGATTCAGATTTCTGGTTTTTTTTAAAGACAGGGTCTTGCTCTGTCACTCAAACTGGAGGCTGGAGTGCAGTGACAATCTCATAGCTTGCTCCAACCTCAGACTTCTGGTCTCAAGTGATCCTCTTACCTCAGTCTCCCCAGTCTCTGGGATTACGGGTGTGCACCATCACCCTCAGGTCTCTGCTTTTTGGCTAGTGCTATTTCTTCTGTGACAAAAAATGTCCATGATATTGAGGAGTAACTTTAATAAATATACACACCACTTTTTTTTTTTTTTAAATACTCACAGTTGTGTCAAAAAGTTAAGTCATATCTGAGTGTGTGATATGGTTCAAGGTCAAATAAGGAGATCCAGGAATTTATTTTCTGTTTGTATACTATTCAGCCATGCTAATTAAATCACCAGCAAAATAAGGCAGGCGTCTATGTCCATTAGATGATATGTATGCTGAACTAATGTATTATCATGTGTACGTGTTTCGAGAGAGAGAAGCTAAGTGCTTTATTTTCTTTTTTTGTGTACAGGTTTCAGCAAGCAGATGGTGGAAATTCTTCACAAACATAATATTCAGTTTAGCAGTTTTGATATCTTCTCAGATGAAGAGGTTCGACAGGGACTCAAAGCCTATTCCAATTGGCCTACTTATCCTCAGCTCTACGTTTCTGGAGAGCTCATAGGAGGACTTGATATAATTAAGGTTAGAATTGAGAAGTCTGTGCTTTGTAAATAAATTCCATTTAGAGCATACTTTTTAAAGTGATAAATCTAAGATACAAATTTCTTATGAATCTATATTTACTAATAAGAACCTGTAATGAATACACAGTATTTCTGATTAGTTGATTGATCAATAAGTTGTGTTATGGTGTGATCAAGGAGATTTATGTTATAATAATTTTTTTTTAGAAAACTGACATGTGTGCTTATTTTAGGAGCTAGAAGCATCTGAAGAACTAGATACAATTTGTCCCAAAGCTCCCAAATTAGAGGAAAGGTAAGTGTTTTGGAAAGTTTTAAATAGTCTATCATTTAATATGTTAAAAATATTTTAAAGTCCTCAGGTTTTGCATTGCTCTTTCTGTGTGGAAATCAAAGATTTGGTATTTGTATGCCAGAGGTCATAATTTCATTGTTTAGTCAAACTAGCCATGCAAACTTTGGCAAATCTAATTTGGATTGGAGAAATTTTAGCACCAACTTAATGATCATGTGGAGGATCTTCTTTGCTTTTATAGAAATGTCATTGTTTCTGTGGAACAACCAAATTTTGCTTACCTCTCTGCATTTCAGAGCCAGGGTCCAGTTGTCTTGTCACTGCTCCTTGGCGTAACCTCAGCACACTCGTGTTTTCCTGGGTGCAGCCTTGGTGACTGCTGCGGGTGCTGCCCCAACGCCAGAGCACTGAGTGACAAGTGGTGAGTGTGAAAAGCTCATCACCTCGCAACAAGCTTTGGGCACTTCTCATGGCCTTTCTAGACCACGAGAACTTACATGAGCAGGTTTTGGGGCTGTGAAACGTATTTGTTTTGTCAAGGATCTCACTTGGCTTTTGGAGAAGTTCTCTTACAGAAATGTTGGACTTTGGTGTATAAGGCAACTTAATAGGATTTTTATTGCAGTAAATGTGAATTAATATAGAACTTTAAAGAGGAACTTACTATATCAGCAATCAGCCATTCATAGTTGGGGCTGGAGATTGTAAGATAAACCTTCCTTTGGTAATTTTTTTTTGCCATGTAACATCTTGAGAATTTCTAAAAGTGTGTAATAATAATAAATACCTCATTTGTCTGTTGTTAATTAATAATTTCTATAAATAATGTTCCATTCCACGTATGTAAGGCTGATCTTTGAGTACTGCATTCTGTCCTGTGGTTTGTACCATTTTCTGCGTTCTTCGTGAGAAAGTGATGCTCCGCATCCCTTTGTTGACTCTGGGCGTCTTCATGTGTGGTTGTTGCCTGTAGCCTGGTGATGCCCATGGCCCATGGAGGCTGTGTGTTCTCCAAGGACAGCTGTGCTTTTTATATGCTTGTATTCGCTGTTCAGTTGATTTTCCTTCTCTGCTGAGTACACTTGCTGCTGTTAATGGCCTTGTCTCCATTGGACCTTTGTTTTCCTAAATGTGCTGTTTCTAAATCTGTGCTTGCGGACACTGAAAGGTAACTGGCTAGAATTATGTAGAAAGTAAAATTCAGCATATTTTGAGTAATAATTTAAAGGGCTCCTAGTGAGCAGAGTGCAGGAAGTGGAGTTCATGGACTTGTGACGTGTATTTTGGCAGTACATTGTGAGCTGTGGTTCCCTGTATCCAGGTGGCTGGGTTAGTTATTGGGTTGTCAGGGTCAGCATCGTATTCCTGTATCCATTTATATTTTTCTGAACTTGAGCTAATCCCACTCGGTTGGCAATGTAAGTGATACAGCTTTGTGCATGATTTATGCATTTCATTTGGGATTCGTTTATAAGGAGATTTTTGAGCCTTGAATTGGGAGAACATGGTGGCGTGACCCCATGGAGCTTAGGTTCTTTAGTGACCTGTCGTCCCAACACTGACTTTTCCTGAGATTTGTGACTAAACTTGTGGCTGTATACAGATAATTAAAATTTCTGATAACACATTAGATTATGATGTTGGCAAGACTGTATAAAATATAATGTTAAGATGAAAGTATTTGATTTTAGCATCTGGCATTAGTTGATGTTCTGAGGTTTAACGCTGTCACCCTGCAGTCTGACCTTGTGAGCTTTACACGTGTACAGTGATGTGCAGCATCATGATGGAAGATGGTGCTCACAAGATCTAGTTCTGGAAGTTTTGGATGGGCTTAATATATAGGCCCCTTATTGAACAATTCCTTACTGAATTGGTTATTATTATTATTTTTTTATTACTGTGAGTTGATGGGCTTAAATTGCAACTTGAAGGAACATTCTTTGCCTTAAAAGCCATATTGTGTTTTACAGTGGCTTAGGGAGAGAATGAAATCAAGGAAAATGTCAACGCATTTGCTTGTTTAATACCACTCAAAGCTGTGAACTGTCATCCTGCCATCCCTCAAATATGCATGTTACTCACGAAGCGGAGGAAAAGTGGTGTTGCATAATTGAGCTGAGCCGTTTTATATCAATTTTCTCTCTTTAGGCTCAAAGTGCTGACAAATAAAGCTTCTGTGATGCTCTTTATGAAAGGAAACAAACAGGTAAAGAACTCAAAAATGGTTTTATTTGTAATTTCTTTTGATGTTAACATCTGCAACAAGGGGACAGTTAAATCTCTTTTTCCTAGCTTTAGCTAATGAAGCTGTAGCGGTATCAGGAAGTTATCCAGGCCTTAATTGGTGCTTACGGAGATCAAACAAAGTAATCTACATTTTGCTTGACTTTATCATCAACATCTCAGTGGGGTGCATTTCTTTCTGCTGCCAAACTTTGTCAGCTAACGTGGTCAACACTGTTAACGCTTTACTGGTTGTATGAGTTGTTATTTCATTATCCTTTGTTGGAGTTTGTGGACTGCTGGAGTGTGCAGCTGAGTCACTGGACTTCCTGAATTCAGGGAACCTGGTCGTGCTTGGGTTTGCACCCCTTGATCATCCTTTTGTGACAGTGGAGGAGCAAACCCTGGCTGTAGCAGGTGTGCTCTGTGTGTGTTTGATGAATGAGTGAAATGGTCAGCAATTCTCATTTGTAATAGGATGGTTCTTGTAGCTTTTTGACGAAAGTGCATATTGATTGTGCGTCATTTTGAATATCAAGTTTGATAGATTACTTCCACTAATAGTTTGAGCAGAACTAATTTTCTTTCAGATTGAGATCAGAGTGGTAATTTCCAGAAACCAGCCATACACATTTATACCATATTTTGTAGTTTTCATAGCAATTGAACCTCTATCTAATTCTCAATCAGTTGTTGAAGTAGGCAGGGTTGGACAGAGTTTGGCCTATTTTAGAGATAAAGAAACCAAAGCTTTGAAAGGTGCGGCTGTTGGAATAAAGAAACTGCCTCACTTGTTAGCCAGATGCACTGGGCAAGTGACACAGAGAACCACTTTGCCACTTTGCTCATTGGGAAAGGGACTCAATACTTCTTCACAGGGCAGACTCTGGTTGCCATAACTAGTGTGTAAGTTAACATAACTAGTATAATGAAACTAATTAGTTAACATAACTAATTGGTTAATATAATTAGGTAATGAAAGTAACAGTAACAAATAAAATGTTAATATAAATTTCAGCATTTTGGAATCACTAGGTTAGATCCTAAATTCTTTGGTTTTGCTTCAGTGTATTGAAACAATAGAGGAAGTTAATAATTCCTAGTAATGATAAAGTGACATTTTTTTCTTATTCTTGGTAATTGTTTAAGCGCATATTTATTCTCACAACTGTTTTTTTCTGGAAATCTAGAAAGTTTTAATACATTTTGGAAACAGTGTTATTAGGGCTATTAAAATGTTTACATGGTACCGTATCTTTTCCACAAGATTGCTGGAATTTGGAGTCCTGTGGCATGAAAAAAGCTTAAGATTTTCATAAACTCAAAAAAGTGTTAGTATTCTGTAATGTAAAAATAAATGAGGCCGGGCGTGGTGGCTCATGCCTGTAATCCCAGCACTTTGGGAGGCCAAGGCAGGTGGATCCCGAGGTCAAGAGATCGAGACCATCCTGGCCATCATGGTGAAACCCCATCTTTACTAAAAATACTAAAAGTTAGCGGGGCGTGGTGGCGTGCGCCTGTAGTCCCAGCTACTCTGGAGGCTGAGGCAGGAGAATTGCTTGAACCTGGGAAGTGGACGTCGCAGTGAGCCGAGATTGCACTCCAGCCTGGGCGACAGAGTGAGACTCCGTCTCAAAAAAAAGGAGTCAGAGTCCAGTTGGAAATGGGAAAATAATTGCCATAATCATTGCAAAAAGACTAAGTGAGTTAAGATCATTTTGCATGAGTAAAGTGAAGAATGAACTGAAATCTTTGTAGAAAATCTAGGTTTCACTTAGAGGAACTTTTTGACCACAGAGATTATAAACTGTTGGAACACATGTCATCTCAAGTGGTTACAAACCAAAGTAAGTCTGTGGGTCACGTGTGCCTGGGTTGATGTGCAGATGGTTCATACTTGAAGAAGGGATTAGCAGAAGCTCTGCTAGCTGAGTGAAAGCAGTGGCAACCACGATGGACAAGTGCTGTGCTGGTTGACAGAGTTTTAGGTACAACCGTGCTGCTTGGGTCATATAAAAAATGTAATCTTTACAAATTTTTTTTTCATCTAGGAAGCAAAATGTGGATTCAGCAAACAAATTCTGGAAATACTAAATAGTACTGGGTATGTAAATGTTGTTTTCAGATGTCCCAGAGAAGGAAGGAAATACCCTTTGCCACCACTCTCAGGAGGATAGAATTGGAATTAAGCTTTCGTAAAGCTTTCCCAAATCCTTTCATCATTCTACAGTTGTATGCTATTTGTGGAAAGATTTCTTTCTCAAGTAGTAGTTTTTAATAAAACTACAGTACTTTGTGTATTTCTTTTCACTGTGTATATTTCTACTGATCTGATCTCACTGTTGATGTTGCTTTCCAAAGATGTGTGTTGCATAATACAGTGGATCTGAATTTATTATTGCTTATAAAACACATTTGATGGAATAGGAGTACTGGTTTTTCATTATGGTTAAAAATGAAACCAGCTGTGGATTTCAAAACACAGTGTATTCTAGATCATCTGCTATCCATGCTGATTTTTATTGCACAAGAATTAGGTTTGAACTTTTGAGCTGGACCCCTCAGCAAACTAGAGTGTATATTGTTCAGTATTTCTTTGGAAACATTTCATTAATGTACTTGTCTTACAGAAATTTCTGGACCTTAGTAAAAAAAATAAAGTTAAACTTTTAAAACTCAAAAAAAAAAACCCAAAAAATTCCAACCTGGCCAGGCATAGTAGCTCACGTCTATAATCCTAGCACTTTGGGAGGCTGAGACAGGAAGATTGCTTGAGCCCAGGTGTTTGAGACCAGCCTGGACAACATAGTGAGACCCCTTCTCCACAAAAAATAAAAAAATAAGCCAGGCATGGTCGCATACGTCTGTGGTCCCAGCTGCTTGAGAGACTGAGGTGGTAGGATCACTGGAGTCTTGGAGGGTGAGGCTGTAGTGAGCCGTGATTGCACCACTGCACTCAGCCTGGGTGACAGAGCAAGACCCTGTCTCAAAAAAAAGAAAAAAATATTTCAGCTTTTCCGTTCTGCCACTGGTGCTTCTCAGTTGTAATGTCTATATCCATAAATATTTGTATCTTTTCATTATTTTTGCTGTATTATTTTATGAATGCCTTAACTTAGACCAAAATAGTGTTTTCTGGCTAGTGTCAACCTATTAGTAACATAAAGGAGGTCCTTAGGCAACCTTTGGAATAACTATTTGTCTACTTTCCCAGAGGAAGATGTGTAACTGAGTCCTCACCATGCATAAATATATTTCAGGGAGAACATATTATAGGTAGTTTTTAATTTTTCTCAAATATCCTAGTTGCTAAATAATACAAAAAGCTGAGGGGTGCATATTAAGGTCCATTACCTGGATCTGAGAGGTGTAATGCAAGTTAAATTGCAGTGCTCCTAGTTTTAATGTGCTCAGTAGTGAAGCTGTCAGGTAAGAACACTGCCATTGATTTTTGTGGTTAAAAACAAAAGCACTTATTTGGAGATATACAGCACATGTTCTGTAGGGTTTGTCACATATTTTTGTTTATTTCTCATTATTTCATAATTGCATCTTTTAAAAATCATATATTCTAACTGTAACTTTAAATAAATTACTTTCAAGTAATCTTTGATATACTTCAAAGATCTATTGAAAATCGTCAATTGAATAGCACATGCTGAATACAATTTCAGGGACATAAAAATAATATGGGGCCAGGCACAGTGGCTCACACTCGTAATCCCAGCACTTTGGGAGGCCGAGGTGGGCTGATCACTTGAGGTCAGGAGTTCGAGACCAGCCTGGTGAACATGGTGAAACCCCGCCTCTACTAAAAATACAAAAATTAGCTGGGTGTGGTGGCACATGCCTACACGCCTATAATCCCAGCCACTCAGGAGGCCGAGGCTGGGAGAATCACTTGAGCCCAGGAGGTGGATTTCAGTGAGCTGAAGCCAAGCCACTGCACTCCCACTTGGGTGACAGTGAGACTCTGTCTCAAAAAAAAAAAAAAGATGTGGTTGTTTTCTTCAGATTATTATGACATTTTATAGAGGCAAGTACAGTGAGTGTATTATGATGGTAACTTCCAGCCTGTTCCTTTCTTCACTCCTGCCCTGGGCCATACAGTGGGGGCTGGCTTGTTTTTGGTCATTTTGCTTTTTCTTTGTCAACCCTCTGCTGCAGCCCCACAGTGAGACACACACAGTCCATCCCTCCCTAAGCAGCACCAGGTTCCTCAGGTGTCTTCTGAGCCGACACACTGGGCCTGACCCAGCTCATGTCTGTGGTGGAACATCTTGGTAACTTGGCTTTCTGTCCTATATCTGTCTAATCTCCATTGTATTGAAAGCACCCTGTTGTCGCAGAGAGCAGGAGGCTACTTTGGGAGAGAATGACTCCCAGCTCCGGACTTGCTAAGCATGATTGGCTCTAGGATGAGTGAGGCCATCCAGGACCTCAGCTTCTTTTAACATGAACAGACCATGCTCTTGTTTGGAGTCAAAGTATGTGGAGAAAACTCCTTTTTACTTTTTCTCATTTCTTATCTTTTCCTTTAGTAGCCAAAATACACATGCATGAGTGGCTGAGAACCAAGTGTATATTGAGGTTTGAAAGGTACCCTTTATGAATAACTCTTAGGAAGTGTATTGACTGTTAGGACTCCACATACATACACGTGGGCCCAGTGCTTCCTGGATCCTTTATGAATAGTTTTATAACTCATTGTTTTTATCACAGTATTAAGAGATCTGCCACCTTTAGTTAGTTCAGCTTCAACAAAGACTTACATTGGGTTTTTAAAAAAACATTAGGTTTACATTGGGGTCCTTTTTTGCTCTTCTTTCAAACATTCCTTTTTTGGTAATTGCTTCTGATTTATCCTGTCATTTAGTTTTTTTTTTGTTTGTTTGTTTTGTTTTTTTTTTTTACTGTTCCCTGCACCATAGACAGTTTCCTTGGGAACTTGTTTACTAAATAAACAAGATTTCCCTGTGATGGTTTCAGTTTTATGGAAAGTCTAGTTTTTTTTTACATGTAGCATTTTCTTTGACCACCTTTGGGAATTGCACCTGTACCCTCAGGCACCCTGCAAGGATTTAGGCATACATGCTTGCTAATACCTGACCACCTAACGGTGAAATCACTCTGAGTAGATACAGTTGGACATTCATGCAGTGATTTTTCTTTGTACGAGTAATGTTCATTGTACGGCATAAAGCCACAAAGCTTTCATTGGCCTTTTGTACATTAAAAACAGCGCCCTCTCTGAAATAAGTTTAAGTGTGGAAAGCATGTCTCCTGCTAAGGTGGAGGGAACTGGCAGTGTGGTTGTCACCTGGCTGCTGAGCCCTCCAGCCTCCGTCCAGGAGCACTACTACTTCCTGCTCCACAGGCAGCTTCCAGGAGGTAAAGAAGCAACAGCCGGGGGTGGATTAGATATTAGAAGTGGATGAGAGTGTTCAGTTAATGAAGGCTTGTGCAGATGGGGATGTGGGTCTGACCCAGGGGTTGGCAAGTTGCAGGTGGCTGCCCATTTTTGTAAATAAATTTATATTGGCACATAGCCACATCCCTTCATTTATATGTTGTCTGTGGCTGCTTTTGTGCTGCCCAGCAGAACTGAGCAGTTAAAACAGAGACTGGCCTCTAAAGCCTGAAGTGTTTACTGTCTCACTCTTTAAGAAGACGTTTCCCCATCCCTGGTCTAACCCAATATTGTCCAGAGAAAAATCCAGATAAAGTTGTATCTTGGAATGACTAATCCTGTGTAGTACCAGACAGATTAAGAAGTACAATCATTGCCATTGGTCTGTAGTACATTTTGTTAGCAACAAAATAGTTTTCTTGATTATTTTAAAAACATCAAATGCACAGAGGTTTTACAATTTGATTTAACTGTATTTCCAGTTAAAATGTCTTCTCTTTTTTCCAGTGTTGAATATGAAACATTCGATATATTGGAGGATGAAGAAGTAAGTTCTGTGTCTGATGTTTCACCTTTGTCTTAGCTTTAATCATAAGGGCCTGACAGGATGGTTTCCGGACTCCTGTTGTTTCTTTAGGTTCGGCAAGGATTAAAAGCCTACTCAAATTGGCCAACGTACCCTCAGCTGTATGTGAAAGGGGAGCTGGTGGGAGGATTGGATATCGTGAAGGTAAGTCAGTTCTTCTGCTCTTCTAAAGAACGGAGAAGACTTTGGTGTGTTTAAAAATGATTTCATATTGAATGGAAACTTGAGAGTTGTTTTTGACTCCTGTTTCCAGCCTGACTCTCAGGCATTTCTAGACCAGTATCATCGTTTCTGTGTGCATAAGTACCCTGCCATTCTCACTGTCCCCACCTGGCAGCCGGTTCTTATTTCCACACCTGAACTAGCCATTTCATCCCCTTTCTGTGGGGTGATCTTACCTGCCACTCAGGGTCCTTGTGAGATCCTGCTTCAGCTCCCAGCCAACAAATTATTTTTTCTTGCCTTACTCACCTCCCCTTGGGTGCATGGACTGACAGCAGTGTGAGGCCTATGGCCCAATGCTGCCCATCCTTGCCACAGAGGCTGAAGATCACTGCCCCTGGTCCCCCGAGAGAAAAAATGTAGGTCGCTTTTTGGTTTTCAGATGTTTGGAAATCTGTTATCTATTAGATTGTAAGTGTTTTAGAGAAGACACCATTTCTTATGTATCTTGAGTCCTTCCTGATGCTTTGTGTATTTTAGGAGTTCAGTAAATGGTTGTTGGATGAATAAGTGACTTTACTTCTTGCTTGAGTTTTAAATGGACATGACTTTGCTCCTATTTAGTGTCTAGAATTTAGGGCAGGCCCACCAACTAGCACCTGTGTGCTCCATAGCTCTTTGATTAGCCCAAAACAGTAAACAGAAGCTGTAGCTTTAATATCTACCGACAGGCCCCACTGCATCCCAGGCCCACTGTGGGCATGGTGGTATTGAGGAGGGTGGTAGCCGGGTAGGTATAGAGAGGAGCTAGACAGGAATGTTGGGCAGGAATGCCAGGTTCTGCTCAGGGACAAGAACAAAACTGCCCCAAAAGGTGGGCTGCCGACTGCCCTCAGACCTTCCTCTTGCCTCAGTCCATTAGAGAATTTTCTCTGAGGTCAGATCTTCCGACTTTTTATGTGGAAAACAAATAGCAAGTAGTACTACTTCTAGTTATGTTGTAAAATTTTTTTTTTTTTGAGACGGAATTTCACTCTTGTTGCCCCGCTGGAGTGCAATGGTGCAATCTTGGCTCACTGCAGCCTTTGCCTCCCAGGTTCATGTTGTTCTCCTGCCTCAGCCTCCCGAGCAGCTGGGATTACAGGCGCACACCACCACGCCCCACTAATTTTTGTATTGTTAGTAGAGATGGGGTTTCACCATGTTGACCACGCTGGTCTTGAACTGCTGACCTCAGGTGATCTGCCCGCCTTGGCCTCCCAAAGTGCTGGGATTACAGGCCTGAGCCACCGCACCCGGCCAAAATAAAAGTTTTTAACACATGCTTTTGTAAAGTGAAGCACTAGCGTACCACTGAAATGACATCAGCACTTTGGACCAATATGTTTTATAGAAACAAAGCTTGAGCTCCATTGACTGCAGAGGCTGTTTTTGTCCTGTGGTGGCCTCTGTTTTGTTTCCTGTGAGTTCCAGGTTTGATCTCATACTTCTTCAACAAGCCAGTGAGACATTTTTCCTGGGGAACGGTCTCACTCCTGGAGGAAAAAATGTTTAAGACTATATATAGCTCTTGTATAGCCCTGAAGCAGCAAAAACAGATCTGCATTTGTTTCTCCTCCCGTTCCCTCCCTCCCTCCCTTTGTCTCTCTCTCTCTCTCTCTCTTTTTATATATATATATATAAAATCTTATTTTTGTAAGACACAAACAGTACTCACACCCCAAATACTCTTGAGCCTGTTCTTGTCTGAATGTTTTATAGCCTGTACCTTAGCCATTGGTAACTCTTGGGAAGATACAATCAATAAATCTCATTTAATTCTAAAGCTAAGCTGCGTGGATAACTTCTTTTTAGTTATATAACAGAGTGTTATATGATTTTTTTATGTTCACCTGCTAAGAACATACACATTTGAAATGTGTGATATTGTTAACGTTTTTCCTTGAGAAGATACATGGAATAGCTCTTTCGATGCCATTTTGATCTGTTTCTTGCAGAATGCAGTTCTTCATGTTCAGTTCAATTAAAAGATGTTTGAAATGGTCTAATCTGGCTGGCCTCTTTGGAGCAATGAGCATTTGTTTTGTTGAATGAGTGACTGAATAATGATTTCGTTACTCAGCCAATCTAGTGTCCTGAGAAAATTGTGAGTTGTTACTGCCTCTGAAGAGTAAACGGTTCACTGCTGCTGTTGCAGAATGTTTGTACTTAACACAGTTTGTTGAGAGAGATTTAGAAGATTTGGTTTGGTTAGGTTTAGATGTTTCACCTGCCGACTCACATTAACAGCAGTGAGGATGGTGAGGACTTCCTTATTTGGCGCACTCCCAGTGTTCCAGGCACACTGCTTTGGTGCTTTAAGAGGCTGCTTCACGTAATCTCCCAAGCAGCCTCAGAGAGCAGAATTCTTCTGTCAGTAGAAGAATGAGGAAACAGAGACATGGAGAGGTCAGGTGAGTTGTCAGCCATCCCATCACTAGTAATCCATTGAGTCCAGATCCACCTGAGGGCCACCTGCCCTTGCCCACTCAGCTGCATGGTCCTCTCTCTGCCTCCTTGAGCGTGTGCTCAGAAAAGTCCTGCTCGGTCCCTTGGAGCGGCAGGGTGTCTGCTCGTTGAATAGTAGAAGAAGATCCCTAAACATGACAAAAAGCCGTCTGGGTTTTGTGTGACAGCATCATTCCTATTTGAATTTCATCCAGAGAGGAGGTCATACGGATTTTAATGGTTTTATTGATTGATGTTTACACTGCTCAGTGATAACCTGAGATGTTACATCATATTAAATGTTTGTTTAAACCAGAAAATTTTATTTATCATGTCTCTCCTTTCAAACTTGGGGTCTATACTCCAGATTTTAAATCTGAAAAACAGGCACAAGGAGCATGGCGCCTGTACTGCAGTTCCAGTCAATCTAGTGGTAGCTCTTTTGATGCCATGTGTGTTTCTGAATTGTTAGGTCTTTTTGATGGTTTCTGCTTTTCCTGAGACAGAGATGTATTGCCAGGTTGGGTTTCAATAGCAAAGCCTGTTTCCTCTCTGTGAGTGGAAGAACGGGAGGGGAACAAGCATCAGATTTGAGTAGGCTTTTAACGTCACACTGCTTTTTTTGTTTGTTTGTTTTTTGTTTTTTTTGGAGACAGAGTCTCACTCTGTCACCCAGGCTGGAGTGCAGTGGGGTGATCTTGGCTCTTGGATCACTGCACCCTCCACCTCCTGGGTTCAAGCAATTTTCATGCCTCAGCCTCTTAAGTAGCTAGAATTACAGGCACATGCCACCACACCCACCTGGCTAATTTTTGTGTTTTTAGTAAAGATGGGTTTTGTCATGTTGGCCAGGCTGGCCTTGAACTCCTGACTTCAAGTGATCTGCCCCCTTGGCCTCTTAAAGTGCTGGGATTATAGGTGTGAGCCATTGCGCCTAGCCATGTTGCTTCATTTTTCAACCTTGAAAGTCACTTGATTTATTTTCCTTATTTTTTGCTGTAGTTTAAATAGGGGGCTTCATTGGCTCCGGTTGCTCCATTTCCTAATACTAAACAATCTGTTGGTTTTAGGATACCTTAACTTCATTTATTTATTTATTTATTTATTTATTTATGAATGAATGAATGAGATGGAGTCTCGCTCTAGCCCAGGCTGGAGTGCAATTGCATGATCTTGGCTCACTACAACCTCTGCTTCCCGGGTTCAAGAGGTTCTCCCTGTCTCAGCCTCCTGAGTAGCTGGGATTACAGGCACCCGCCACCATGCCCGGCTAATTTTTGTATTTTTAGTAGGGACAGGATTTCACCATGTTGGCCGGGCTGTTCTTGAACTCCTGACCTCAGGTGATCTGCCCACCTCGACCTCCCAAAGTGCTGGGATTACAGGCATGAGCCACTGTGCCCAGCCTTATTTATTTATTTTTTAAGAGACAGATTTCACCATGTTGGTCAGGCTGGTCTTGAACTCCTGGCCTCAAGTGATCTGCTTGTCTTGGCCTCCCAAAATGCTGGGATTACATTTGTGAGCCACCACACTTGGCCAAGAATACCTTGTTATTTTTTTAACCTGATAGTGTATTCAGGTTTTATGACACATTTAGTTTGAGAGTGTTAAAAGACTGGAGTTTTAATCCAATAAGTGTTTCTTTTGGTTCTTAGATATACATACAAGCTGTGATTGTTTAGATGTTTCCATCTTTTTATATATGCATATACATATTATTATTGTTGTTTTTCATTTTTAGGAACTGAAAGAAAATGGTGAATTGCTGCCTATACTGAGAGGAGAAAATTAATAAATCTTAAACTTGGTGCCCAACTATTGCAAGAAATATTTAATTACATTGGAAGCAGTTCATGATTTAGTCCTCAGAAATGGACTAGGAATAGAAAATTCCTGCTTACTCAGTTACATGTTTTGTGTATTTCACAATGTCGTGCTAAATAAATGTATGTTACATTTTTTTCCCACCAAAAATAGAATGCAATAAACATCTTCAAATTATTAACAATAATTGTATGAAAAAAGTATATCTTTACAGCAATATTAAACATACAGCTACTATAATTAACCCACATTAAATCTCTTTTTCTTAGTACATGAGTATCTTCTAGCAGTTAAGAAAGGCAGTCTTCAGAAAATGGAGAGCTGTGGCGGAATGCAGTACACAACAGTATTTAGGACAACTCCTTTGCCAACACAGTGGCTCCCCTTGCTGGTGAAAGATCTCTTTACAGCTTAGGAAAAACAACGGAAATTAGTTTCTGATGTCATTGCTGAGCTCGGCACTGGTTAAATTGCAGAGGCAGTGTAGGATGTCTGCAGGTTTAGACTCTCATTTCACAAGGCACCAGTAGTGAATTATCAAGAAACATTTCAGAGGAAAATGATTTCTCATTGAATATGATACAACAAGCACTTTTTCATAAGGTCTAGAAGAGTGGGTAGTCATGACAAAGAATGGAAAAGTATTGTCATTTGTTGTAAGCATCACTACTTTTTTTTTTTTTTTTTTTTTTTTAAGACGGAGTCTGGCTCTGTCACCCAGGCTGGAGTGCAGTGACACGATTATGGCTCACTGCAGCCTCAACTTCTCGGGGCTTAGCGATCCTTCTGCCTCAGCCTCCTGAGTAACTGGGACCACAGGCTGCCACCACCATGCCTACCTAATTTTTTTATTTCTTGTAGAGATGAGGTCTCCTGCTTCAGCCACCCAAAGTGCTGGAATTTACAGGTAGGACCACCACACTTGGTCCACTTGTTTATAATAAACATTGATTTGGTCTTTCAAGGTCCTTTGGTCCTCCTATTGAGAACAGTTTGAAGTCCATGAAAATTTTAACAGTATTTTTGATCCTGAATCTAACATATATGAGAAATAGTTGCTTCACTAGGCTTCCACAAGCAGTCTTCAAATGGGATGGCTAAATTCACCTCATGGGTCTTAGTTTTTTTTGTACTTGTGACACATTCTCTTCATATATTACCCCACCCTGTTTAGGCAGTTAAGATGCTGGCACTATCTGGTGGTGATAAGGAAAGGGAAGCAGAAGTCAGTAATTCAGACAAGAATAAACAGGATGAAATGCGTCTATTCCTAGGCCTAGGTAAGATTAGCCCACCACCTGCACACTGTTGCTGTCTCTTCAGCTCAGGCTGTTTTTCTCTGTTTTGATTGTGTAAGGAGTAGAGTGCTGTATTTGTGTGTGACAGAGGCTGGTCTGTACAAGTCATAAAGCTCGATGAGGCCTTGCTTCCTGCTAGGTGTTAGGATGCCTATGGTGGTGGATTTTCTTGGCGTTCTGTGTAATTAAATAAGGCTCTTTAGAGCATTGGTCCATGACAACTTCCTTGTTTCTATTTAAAATGAAAATCATTGTATAAATAAAACTTTTTAAATGCAGATACAAATAGAATTTTAACTGAAATTTTATGAAGCCATTGGCTGCAGGGATGTGTGTGTCATGGAGGAGGGCTCCATACTTTTTTTGTATACTTAAATCATTTGCATACTGCTTTTTCTTTAAGTGCCAACTGTCCTAGTATATTTTCTAAGTCAACTTTTAACTTCACTTTATCCTAAGCAAGAATATCTTTGCCATCACAGATTCAGTAAGCCTGTTTTTTTCTAATGCACATACAAATAAATAAAATGCACAACTTTCAACATAAATGGCTACCTCCAATTTAGGAAGCACTGTTCTGGCCAGAGGCCATTGCTCTGATAAGGTCATGTGGTTAGTGCGTTTTAGGAAGACCTCCTTTCCTTTGGTTGACTCCTGTAGGACATAAGATACCAGTGACATTATCCTTTGTTGAGCCATCCTGGTTTGAGTCAGGATGAGCGTTGAGAGTTTTTGGGGAGTTGCCCCTGTGTGCTGTATGAATTTATCCTCTTAAATTCTGGTGGTCATTGGCTCCGCTGACTCCAGGTAAGTTGGGGTGACAATGCAGCATATTTCTATTTTCTAGTTGTTTTTGGCCAGACATGGAGACGGTCAAGAGATCTTGTTCATGCAAGCGGACTGTTGGCCATTCGTAATCTGATTTTATTAGTGTATTTTAGAAAGTAAAGTAAGATTCTTGAGCCCAACTGAACTTCCCCTATTGAATTTTCTAACAAAAAGAGAGTTTGTGTATGGGTGTATAATTGAGCCTGCTCTTGTAGAAATGTTTTATCAGAATTGAAATCCTCTCTGATCCTCAAATTCTAGAGACAAAGTTTTTTTCTGAATTTGAGAAATCTGTTCAGTTCACAAGGAAAGGTGACAATGTGACATTTGGATGTTGTCCCACACATGAGGCCTTGTTGGGTGCTTATGGTGGGAGGGACCGTTCAGGCAGGTTTTGTATGGAGAGTTTTCATGTCTGGACACATTTCTGTCCTGAGAAGCACTGCTATGCTTTTGGGAGCATGGACCCAGGCCAGAGCCTGTGGCCAGCTCTGCCTGCCCTCCCTTTCTCGGCCTGCTCTGTTGAGTCTGTAGTGGGGCTTCGTGTGGCATCCTGCCAGGTTAAAGCTGCATGGTGCTTAGGATAGAGCTGGTGCTGTGGGGAGGCTCTCAATGATGAGGGCTGCCATCTGTTTGCCTGTTAACTCTTAGAAACCAAACCTCACATGTCAGAATTTCCTTTCTAGAAGAGGCCGGTGGAATAGGAACCAGAACGGCCCTCATACAGACAGAGCTGTTCACTCCTCCTGACTTGTGTGTTTGTGCCTTCTTTGTAGGAAGGCTTCTTAGGGAATTGGTATCTGTTTAGGGGAAATAAGCCTGCAGGAATGAACTTTTTTTATTTTTAAATAAAAACTCTTGATCAAAAATGGAAAGGAAAACTAAAACCAATGAAACAGGTTAGGTAGTTTGTGGAATTCTCCTTTGCAGGTGAGGGGAGAAAGCAGCTCTCTCAAGGGCACAGCTACAGGTTGGGAGCTGGGGCTTCCATCCAGGGTCTGGGACACCCAAACCTTAGGCTTGCCCCTCCCGGGAGGCCTCCCCCTCAGAGCTGTGTGGGATGCAGTTGCCTTTTTACCTGTGATGAGAAACTGGTGAATTGCCAGGATTCTGGCTCTGGCTTCAGTCTGCCCCTTTCCTGGGGATTAGAGGGCATTAACCCTACTTCCTACAGCCGAGCAGCTCTTCCTCATGACTCTGTTTTCTAAACTCCGGGGGTTGACTGATTTGAAGACCGCCTTGTTGATGAATGTGTTGAAACTTGCTATCATAATGTAAATGCTCCTTATTAAAATAACAGGACCTAGTGGGTTCAGTTGCCTTGCCCACGTGTGACTTACATGCTTTTGCCTTTTTTTGGTTGAACGCTGAGCCTTGCAGAAGCATCAGGAAGTCCACCTTGGTCTCACTGGATTGATCATTAAGAAGGAAGGAGAAAAATTATTGCCATTTCCATTCTTTACAAAAATGTCATAAGTCTACTGAGGAGTAGACTAAAAAATAGCATGTTTTTATAATTAGAAAGTCTCATTTTATTAACTTAGAAAATGTTTAATCTCTGAAACAACTGTAATACATTTTAAGCACTTGGTAATCATGATGTGTCTTATTGGAAAGAATTACACAAATAAGAGCTATCTTGACAGTCAAAAGTTAAAAGCTTAAGATTGCAATATGAAACATGATTTCTGGTTTAGTTTTTAAAGTAAAATCAGCTTTCTTTTCCTTCCTTCCTTTCTTTTTTTTTTGTTTGAGACAGGGTCTCCTCTGTCACTCAGGCTGGAGTGCAGTGGTGCAATCATGGCTCACGGCATCCTTGACCTCCCAGGTTCAAGATCCTCCCACCTCAGCCTCCTCAGTAGCTGAGATGACAGGCATGTGCCACCATGCCCGGCTGTGTTTTGATTTTTTTTGTAGACATGAAGTCTCACTCTGTTGCCCAGGCTGGTCTCAATCTCCTGGGCTCAAGTGATCCTCCCACAGTGTTGGGATTACAGGCCTGAGCCACCATGCCCGGCCTAAGATCGGTTTTCTTAAATTTGACAGTTGCGACTTTTCAAAATTTAAACCTTTCTAAAGTAATTTGATTTTTTGCAGATGAATTCTTGTTTTATACACATTTCAGATGTTGAGTTGGAGGACCTAGACCCTTCCCTTTTTGTCTAGTCACATTTCCTCATGGCCATCCACTGATCATTGAATCAGTGTAAACATGGACAGTTTCTCTTGAGTCTTTGGGTCTTCATTTCTGAAGGCTCCTGTGTCACGTAAGACTTAAATAAATCTTATGCTTTTCTCTTGTCAATCTCTTTTGTTATAAGAGTGTCGGCTGTGCCCCTTGTGATGGATGAGGAAAGGTATCCACCTTTCCGAATCAGACACAAGCTGCAGTAGCTTCCTGGTGCCTCATTCACCAGGATGGGTAACTTTAAAGAGAAGTTTTATAACTGGCATCCCATTCTAGTTTCAGAGTCTTGGGGGCTTTTTTCATACAGCTTTGTCTGATATTTGGAGACGTTCAGATTCAGAAGAAATGAGTTCAGTTAGCTCATGGGCTGGGCACATGCACTGTCACTGAAAGCAGCAGAATACCTTGAGGGAGTCTTGGTGCACTTAGGTCACTGTAAGGTTCTAGGGCTAGGAGTGGGGATTTGAACCAGGATCCCTCAGCGCAGCCCCAGTGCTGTACTTGAAGCCTCATGCCACACTGGCTTTGAGGTAGCACACTGCGTCAGTGAGTGGAGTTGCCCAAGTCTGGGGCTTCTGAAATGACCTGATATTTTTTACCTTCCTGTTAGAAATGATGTGGCTTTTACAAATTAAGTGCCAGGCTGGGCACAATGGCTCATGCCTGTAATCCCAGCACTTTGGGAGGCAGAGGCGAGTGGGTTGCTTGAGCTCAGGAGTTTGAGACCAGCCTGAGCAACATGGCGAAACCTCATCTCTACAAAAAATAAAAAATTAACTGGTCATGGTGGTGTGCACCTGTAGTCCCAGCTACTTGGGGAGCTGAGATAGGAGGATTGCTTGAGCCCAGGAGGTCAAGGCTCCAGTGATCGTGCCATTGCACCCCAGCTTGGGTGACAAAATAAGAGCCTGTCTCGGGGAAAAAAAAAATTGCGAGGACCTGCACATTTTGACTGGAAAAGACCTGTTCTCCCCACGGTCATTCATCTTGTCATTGGTTGTCAGTGGTACAGTGTTAATTTAATCTTTTCTCAAAAAATCAAGTTTTGTTTGAGGAAGTTACAGATTTCCATATGAACTCCTAGAGAGCCTGCCCTTGTTCGGGGTTGCCTGGGGGATGCCTGCCATGTGGTCCAAGGTGAGGTAAGCATTTCTCTGCCTCTTGTCTACCAGCCTGCTGTCCCCAGGAACGAGTTCCCTAACTCCTAGCCCTGTCGTTGAGCCCAAGCTTGTAACCTGGATATGGGAGCCGTCCATTTAGGACGAAGGCATGTATGGTAATTTGTAAAGGAATTAAAATAGATTTTTACGCTCTTGTCCTATGTTTTGTGCTTAAAAGGAAGAGCCCCGATATAATGGAGAAAAGCCAGAAGGAGCTTGGATGCCCTCGAGAACCCCGTCACCTGTCTGTAGGGGCAGAAAGGAAGATACCTTTCTTCACCCATCACAAGGTGCACAGCCAACACTCCTTTAATAGATTACCAAGGAAAAATAAAATTTATGTAAAGACTTAGGTGATACAGGAGCCTTCAGAAATAAAGACCCAAGAGAAACTGCATGTTCACACTCAGATTCAACGAAGAGTGGGTGGCCATGCAGAAATGTGATTGGACAGAAGGGAAGAATCTAATCGTAGACTGGATGGGAAAACCTTGCCCCCTGTGTAGCATTCCTTCCTTCCAGGTACAGGACAGGGCCCTTCTGGGATGAAGGTCTGGGAACACTTTCAGATAAAGTACTATGGAGGATGTTTTTGTGGCCGGCTCCTGTAGTGGAACACGGGTCCGGCTGCTTGCCAGTTACAGAGTCCAGTTGACAAGAGCAAGGTCTGGTAGAAAGAAAATGACGGTTAACCAGAGCTAGTCATGGGGATATGGCTGGATTCCCACCCAAAGTAACGACTTTGAATTTCTGGGGAGAAGGCAAGGGTTTAGAAAGCGGGGACAGGAGGGGACTTGAAATGGGAGGCGTGCAAGGGTTGTGCTGAGTACAATGTGTGTCTTGTTCTCGTGGCTGTCCTGGGCCTCAATCCACCTGGAGTGTGGGTTGGCATCATCTCAACGAGTGGCCAGATTTGACTGCCCACCTTGAGGTAAGCTCTGGGATTTTGCAGCTGGGTTTCCACGCTTGGTCTGTCACAAGATTAGCCCCTAGAACTTCGAAATAAGCACGTAATTAGAGACTAGCTCACAGACACATGTGAAGAGGGTATACGGTGAGAAGGGGGAGGGGTGTGGAGTCTATTTTAAGATTAAGGGAAAAGGCTTCTGCAATTTGCTTTAAGGTTATGTCTCAGTACTAAAGAAAAGGGAAAAAAAAAGTTTAAAAATGCATTTTGAAGTTAAGCTGCTCAGTTACACTCCTACACAAGGCCAGGGAAGGTGAGAGTCATATTTCTAGGTTTTTTCCTTTTTTTTCTTTTTTTTTCTTGAGACAGAGTTTTGCTCTTGTGCCCCAGGCTGGAGTGCAGTGGCGTAATCTTGGCTCACTGCAACCTCCACCTCCTGGGTTCAAGCAATTCTCCTGCCTCAACCTCCCCAGTAGCTGGGATTACAGGCATGTACCACCATGCCTGGCTAGTTTTTGTATTTTTAGTAGAGACGGGGTTTCGCCATGTTGGCCAGGCTGGTCTTGAACTCCTGACCTCAAGTGATCCACCCGCCTCAGCCTCCCAAAGTGCTGGGATTACAAGGTGTGAGCCACAGCACCCGGCCATATTTCTAGGTTTTTATGGCTGGCCTTGCATGAGAGGGGTTCTGGTTTCTGTGACCTGCACTGGGGAAGAGGCATTCTACTTCCTGTGGCCTACCTTGAGGTGGGTGGGGTGGGGGCAAGGGAAGGGGCCAGAGGGGGTTAGAGAGCCCTTGCTTCTGAGGCCCTTCTGGTGTCCTGAAGTTCCTAGTACTCAGTGTGCCAAAACCCCAGGCCTTGGGTATCATTTTCTGAGCCCCAACCTATCCCTCTATTTTGCCTTTAGGTCTGGAGGAAGGTTCCAGGACATTTGCCCTTGGTGGGTACAGGTAGGAGGATCTGTGGGTCTTCCTCATGCCAGGAGTCTTGTCCCAGAATCAGAGGCTCCTGGTGGGTAGGAGCGCGTCCCATGCTGCAGCACGCTTGGCTGTCCAAAGTTGCTGATGAGAAGCAGCGTAGGATCTGGCAGGGATGGTCCTGAGCAGAGAGGCTGAGATGGGAGGTGGTGGCCCATTCTGTCTCCATCCCTGAACCCCATACACTGAGGTGCAGGAAGTGTGTGTAGTTTCACACACTTAAGTGTAAGAAAGCATGTTCCTGTTGAAAATAACATCCCGCTGGGCACGCTCTGGGATGATGACAGGTTTTGCCCGCCTCCTGCAGCTAAGCCCAGGAGTCCTGGAGCCCTGGGTTCCCATCGGGGCTGTAGCCCTCTGCTGTTTCCCCGTCCGCTGTCAGGGAAGGAGTCTCCTATATCACAGGGCAGGGCCTGCATGCAGGTCCAGGTGTATAAATTTTAGGGCTTGTTCAGGAAGCAGGCAAAATGTGCCCTTGGAGGTGCTGAGATACAAAGCTTTTCCCCCTGGTGTTTATTATTTGCTACTTAATATTCTAAGTAAAGAAAAATTAGAAATTTAAGTCATTAACATGAACGTTTCTGCTTTTCTTTACACTGTGCAGTGGCAATTTCAAATGCAAATATAAGAGCATTTAACTTGTGTGTGGGGTACCTGAGCTGGCCCATTAATGTCTGTCTCAGCTTCTGCCAGGATGCTGGAGGCACTGCACAAAAGGAAATGCTCTTGATCCGTGCACATTCCCTCAGCAAGCACTGCCTTCAGGCTGAGGCAAGAGAGAGAGAAGGAGCTGTGGGTTGCCCTCTCATTGCCTGCCTTCTGTGTCATCTTCAGTGAGTAGTTGGCTAGTACAGGCAAGAGACAAGGCAGAGAGGATATGATGATTTACTCCGTCATCCGTGTTTCTTAGAATGCAATTGCTCTCTTTCTGGGCTGGAAGCAAGTTCTGGTGTGATTGGAAAGTGTGGTGCCAGGGCTGTCAGCTCCAGCTCTCCTGTCATAGCCGGTTACACGCTGAGGTTGCCCTCGCCTTGAGTCTTGTCACCGCTGACACTGGGGCCCACTGGAACGCTGCTTCTGG